GGTCGAGTTAATCGCGTCCTCACTAGACGCGATAAATCGACCCCCGCTGGATTGATCGCTCTGGAGGTAAGTGTAGACATGCCCTTAGTCTTAGCTGCTAGGCTACGTGGCTACCTGGTTTTTTTTCATGTTAACAATCTGATTCCTATTGAAAACAAAGTCTGTTTAGTGGCAGCTTCATAGCTGTTGCTCTCCTTGCATCCCTTGCCCTACCAGCATATTAACAAGTGTGCTTAATCTCATGCAGGCTCGTGAGGCTGTGGAGATGCGTGCCCAGGTGGAGAGAAAGATGGCACAGAAAGAAAAGGAAAAGCATGAGGAAAAGCTCAGAGAAATGGCCCAGAAAGCCCGAGAGAGGAGAGCTGGAATCAAAACCCATGCTGAGAAAGGTACATCCATCCTCTCCTTCTCTGCAAGAAATCTTGTCAGGATATTAAAGTTGCTTTCATGTTAGTTTGAACCCTTTAAACTAGTTGGAAGAATATGAGAGCCTATGTTAACTAAACTCAGACTGCGATGGCTAAGTACAGCAAATGCTTCTCGTGGCTTGAGTGACCTAGAGTCAACTCAGCTGGTTAGTGGGAGTGCAGTTTGATTTTGAGCCCCAAGCTCCTGTGTCAGTGAATGCTGCAGAGGAGGTTCTTCAGAAAACTAGAGATGCACTCTGACCACAACAAGGAGCAGCTTTTATGGATTTGTAGAGGGAACCCTTGACTTAAAGGAGGGGCTAAGGCAGCGAGAGATTGGGGGGAACAAACTAATTCACTTCTGTTGTCGAGAGTGTGCCGATATTTCCATTCTGATTCTTTTCATGGGACTATAACTGAGTTACATATTTTATGCCAACCCACAATAAGACAGTCACAGGCCAAGAACAAATCTGACTTTACAAAACATAAATGAGTCTTTTTTTTTTTTTCTTTAAGTCTTAGAGGATGTCAAACAGGAATTTTTTTGCATCCCTGTAACTGGGCTTATTTTAAACAAAACTCTGCAGTCTTTAGTTTACACTGAACACTAGATTTGTTAGCTACTAAACTATGAATCCCAAGTACTGGAATAGCTGTATGCTCTGGATTGAAATATTATGTCAAAGATCTAGGTACCAGCTACAAAGAGCAAACATACCATCTGGTGATAAATCCACTCAATTATTGGATGTTCTTCTCTACAGCTGGAAGTGCATGCATGCCAGGGCTTGTTCTTTGGATACTAAAACCTAATTTGAATAACACTTCAAAGCATAACTCTTCTGTAGTACATGGGGACCTATCCCTGTGACACCCTTTAACTTCCATGGGAGTTGCCAAGTGTTAATCCCCAGGCGTTGCAGAGAGAAAAGTATCCCTTGAGGATTTAACTTAAACCCCTGAAAGCCAAGAAAACGTGGGTCAGACAGACTGCATCCTCCATCTGTCTTGTCAAGCCCAGGTGTTAGAGAAATGCTTTCAAAGTCATTAGAAAGGGATGTTTTAATTCTGCTTTTTCACTTCGTTAAACATCTAATTTAAAGTGGTAGAGCCCTTCATCTTCTGCAAATCAACACTGATTTCAGTTACCGCAGTGGTGACTGGTTTAACTCTGTTGATTATACTTATTTGATAATCTTAAATGTGTTTGTACAGAGGATGGAGAAGCTAGAGAAAGGGACGAAATCAGACATGACCGTCGCAAAGAGAGACAGCATGACAGGAATCTTTCTAGAGCAGCCCCTGACAAAAGGTGAGTCAGGAAGAGCAGCTTATCTAATTGTTGTATTCATGCAACTCCCTTCCTAGGCAGTGGAAATAACAGTAAAGAAGTTTCTACCCATGGCCAAGTTTGGGTGACCTGTATTGGTGAGAGGGTATTCACTGGTATTCCTTCCTCACTTTCTGTTACAGGATTTTAAAAGTTTTATCAGCATTGCCAGTAGTGTGCGTAAGTTCCTGGAGTAAATATCTAGATCACAAAACTCAAGTTTCACAGGATATCTGCAAAGCATTTAACTTTATGGAAACTGAGTTTATAGGATGTGCACTTTGATCGTAAGGCACTAACACTAAAAACCCACATTTGGCCTGTACCAGCTGATTTGGGCTTAGGGGCTATTTAATTGCAGTGTAGATGTCTAGTCTTGAGCTCGAGCCCAGGCTCTAGGACCCTGTGACGTGGGAGGGTCCGAGTGCTCAGGCTGTAGCCTGAGCCCAGAAATCTACAGTCCTGCAGCCCTGGGAGCCTGAGTCAGCTGAGATGGACCAGCTGTGGGCTTTTAGTTGTAGTGTAGACATACCTGCAATTAGTGAAAGATTTGTAGTAGTTAGTATGGCACTTAGCCCCTGGGAAGCTAGTTTTCTTGATCAGAAGCTATTTAACTCAGAGCTCTCAAACTTATGTATATACCCTGAACCAGAACCATTTGTCTGAAGGCATTTATAACTTCTGCAAGCATTCTGAGGAATTTAGTTGTGAACCAAAGTTTTAGTGATACAGAGCCTAGGAACCATGTAAAGTCTCAGTTGGGATGAAATTCTGACCCGAGGTCAACTTGAAACCGGCTGTTGACTTCAGTAAGGCCAGGATTTCACCCCAGTATGCGGTTCCAGTTCATTGAACCATTTTGCTTGAATTAAATAAGTTTGAACTCTTTAGGCTACACCTGCTAAGCCTGTGTGTTTGCCCAGACCAACTTTTAAGCTCCCAGAGCTTGCACTTTTGAAATTTTTGTGGTGATCGGCTCTGAAATTAACCACCCAACATCCTAAGATTGTCTTCTGTACTGGTTCTTATTGAAAGCAAATACAGAGGTTTCTAAACCCAAACCAGTTTGATGTGATGTTAAACAGTGGAAAAGCAAACTCAAAGGCCTTCCCCAACTAAAGCATGACTTCCCCAAAATGTCTCCTGTGCCAAGAGACCACGTTAACCTTCAGCCTAAAAAGGGAAGTTGTGGGGTCAAAATCCAGCTTCTGATGGAAACTGTCTTAGTCATAGCTCCAACAGCAGGTCATGATTTTTAATCTTAACTTTAATAATTTTGATTATTTTCCAAATGAAGAATGTTAATTTTGTTACATTTTTAACTCAGGTCAAAGCTGCAGAGAAATGAGAACAGAGATATCAGTGAAGTTATTGCCCTGGGTGTTCCCAATCCTCGGACATCCAATGAGGTCCAGTATGACCAGAGACTTTTCAACCAGAGCAAGGTAAAGAAATGAGACCCCTTCACACTTGTGTTTATTTCTAAAACGTGAATGTTGGGCCAACTCATCCCTTTGTAGGGACAGTCCAGTGCAGGGAATTAGTGACCCCTTTCTGCTTGATGTACAGAGGAAAGCTTTGAAGGCAGACAGACATGTTGTAAGACTGAGCAGGAGCCACTTCAGCTAGCTGTTCTGATTCCCTTTCATTTAGTGCTGAGATACTAAAGTGATTGGATACTCTCTAAATACGTAGATGGATGATGACCCTCTGTCAGGGGAATGAAGGAACTTCATTTAAAACACTTTTCACCAAATCCATAAAGAATTAAGGGAAATGTGCTACTGAGACAAGGAGGCATATGGTAAAGACGTAGATTTAGAACAGGAAGTTAATAGTAGCTGGAAAGTGGTAGATTGCAACTCCATGTTTTACTGCTCATATTGAAAATGCTTCTCAAACAATTGTCACTTGCAGTAAGTTTTATTTAACTAGGTCCCAACTGTACTTTGAAATCAACACTATCGCTGAAGTCTAGTTAATTGAAAGAACTGCACGTGCCCCTTTGTCCTCCTGTCAAGTGACTTTACAATAATTTTTCCTATTTGTTCTCACTTCTTGTGAAAGACCCAGGAAGAAGAAAAATTTACACAGCAGATGTTTGTAGCACTGAGAGTTCATGATCAGTAGACATTATATATTGTACCTCCCTGTAATTCACCAGCTTAATGTTACCTCGCTGAGCTTTTGAAAATGCTCATATCCTACTCTGATTAGTACCTCACACATTATCCATTCTCTTCTCCTTTTCAGGGTATGGACAGTGGATTTGCTGGAGGAGAGGATGAAATTTACAATGTCTATGACCAGCCGTGGAGAAGCGGTAAAGACATGGCCCAGAACATCTACAGACCTAGTAAAAATGTGGACAAAGACATGTATGGAGATGACTTAGAGGCTCGAATAAAGACTAATAGGTAAGAAAACAGGAGAAACTCAACCTCTTCCTGTGCCATTTAAAACAATCTGGATTGAACATTATCTCTCTTCTGCTGCAGGTTTGTTCCAGATAAGGAATTTTCTGGCTCAGAACGTAGACAGAGGGGCAGAGAGGGACCCGTTCAATTTGAGGAAGATCCCTTCGGTCTGGACAAGTTCTTGGAGGAAGCTAAACAGCATGGGGGTTCTAAGAGGCCCTCTGACAGTAGCCGCCCTAAAGAACATGAGCATGAGGGCAAGAAGAGGAGGAAGGAGTGAATAGACTGACCTAATTGAGTACTAAAAATGGACTATAAACTAGGACTTCATGCTCATGACATTTTTAATCTATCAGCAGGAGTGTACAGTGGATGGTCATACATGAAGCAATTTAGCAGTTCTGTGCAGTGTAGACAGATGTGCATAATGATTCTTTTAAGTTCTAACCAGGACAACCACCCATGGAGAACAGGGGAGGGGGAAGATTGTTTTGAACCATTCAGGGGCATATTATCTTTATGCAGGGCTTTAGCTATGCTACTCCCCTCTGTCCCATCAGCACTCACAAGAACTCTGTCCCAGCCTCTCAGGGTAAGATATCCTTGCCTGGAGCTTTAGTTTTTTGTTGTTTTGTTTAAACTAGCAAAGCTTTTACTTAATACGATAGTTCTCCTTGTGTATATAGCTAACTCCCTGCTTACGCTGTAATAAATGGAATTTGGGGGAGCTTGTAGGATAGAGTTCTTATGATTCACTGTTCCCCTCCCAGCTCAAATATAAACTATACAGCCGCAGCAGGCGGAAACAGCTGGATTCTGTTTTAAAGTCAAATACTCTCACCCTTCCCATCAGTAATGTTTATTTTAGACTTTCTTTACATGTTGGTGAAATAAAGTCTGCTGCTGCTAACTCATGTCAGCTGCTCCTTCATTTGCATACCGGCGTCGAAAACCTCTGGGTTTGTGCTCTTGAACCTGGAGCTGAAATAGTGAAAGCAGCTATTTAAACCACAATTGAAACTTCTATTCAACTTCAACAGGAGATAACTGACATAATATCCTCCATCCCCACTGATCTCCTTCTGGGACAGATGCTCTCAGAAGGTATTTTGCTCTGCTACACTTGCAGTTTCAGGAGCCATAAGTATAGATACTAGGTTCCCAACAAGAAAGTTAGAAATTGCTGCCCTGTGGGAGAAAAATCTTAATAGCTTCCCCAGAACTACATGTAAAACTAGTGGAAAGTAACTGTCTAGGATTAAATGGGATAAACTGCCTATGCATAGTCTTCTACAGGGAGGAAAAATGGTCACAGGAGGGAAAGGGTCCCAAACAATACTGACAAAAGGCCTTGTTCTGTAAGGAAATGAGTCCCCCCCCCGTCCCCCCCCCCCTCCCGAAAGGATGGAGTAGTTGGGAGCAATCACTGACTTCAGGAGCCAGTGTCTTGTTATTCCTGTGACTGAGGCCACTAAAAGAGACAGCAAGTGGTTGGGCTCTACTGTCATCACTTTTCTGATACTTTGCTCTAAAGTTGTTGCATCAGACCTGGACAACTCAGTTGTCTGACTCTAGCATTATCCATACAAGTTTTGGGGCATTGAGACAATACATTCAATGTGGACATGAGGTAATATACTGAATTGCACAAGCAAGAAATGAAAAATTCAGGTGAGGGAGTATGCCTGCCCTTTGACACAAAACCTCAGGCTTCTTCTGAATCCTCATGTGCTGGATTTCCAGATAACCTTAGTGGCCCAAACCACCACCTTCTAGCCCTTCTGTATTGGCTGGAAAGGCCTTGATTGATGGGGAGTGTCATCCAGATCTTTGACCTTCAGTATGAATGTGTGCAATATGCTTTACATGAGACTACTTCAGGTATGGCTACACTACAATTAAACACCTGCAGCTGGCTTATGCCAGCTGACTTTGGGTTCTGTCTACAGAGCTGTTTAACTGCAGTGTAAACGTTTGTACTAGAGCTTGGGTTCTAGGACCCTACCAGGGGAAATGATCCCAGAGCCTGAACTCCAGTCCAAGTATCTACACAGCCGTTAAACAGCTATGTAGCCCAAGCCGTGCACACTCAAGTCATGTGTGTGTGTGCGTCCATCCCCGTCCTTTAAGGCCACTCTTTAGTTGTGGTTATATGAATGACACCTGTGCCAGGGCTCCCAGCCCCATGACTGACCCTGTTCCCAGCCCAGGGCTGGGATTGGGGCCAGGAGTAGAGCCACACCTGGCCACAGGCCCAGCCCCTCTACCCCTGTCCACATCTTTCTTCCCCCCGCCCCCTGAGGCACAGCCCAGCTCACAGACAGGGTAAGGGGGGGGCCGCAACCATCAAAAGTTTGGGGACCACTGATATAGACTGTCCCTAAGTTTATATAGCTGTGGGCTACATTCAAGGCTGTCTTGGACAGCCCTCGACTCTTGAATTTTTCTTCCTTTTGTCCAACATGAGGGAAGTTTAACTTTCAAGAGACACTGCAGAATCTACTTAGTCACGCTATCTGAAAAAGAGGTTTGGGATAACATCAAAGAAAGTTCTCAGTAGTTATAGGTTGGAGTGTTACAGTTGTCAATTTTACATTACTTCTATTGTAGTGTTTAGATGGTTCATCCAACTTGTGTTGGGTGAGGCACACGGAACACACCTCAACAACCCTGGGCTACTCAAAAGAAGGTAAGAGTTCAGTTTCTTTTATAAAATAAAATGTTCATTTAAAACAAGCTGTTACCTTGACACCTTCTAGGATGTGGGATTCCTTCTGTAATACATTGCGAAGGTCTTCTTCTGAAGAGTATCCAACCCAGCAAAAGCCTTTATGAAATCCTGTTTCTTTATCCTAGCCACCAAATACAAAATAAAATGTAGCTCAATAGACTGACAAAGTACTACATATACATTATTACAACACCCTCTTAAAGTTTTTCATGGTAAAGATCCTTAGTTCACTAGAGAAAATTAAATACTTTTTTTCAGGAGCCCATCATACCGTTTCCAGAATACTTGTGCCCAACTGCCTTGTGAACTTGAATTTAGCTGGATACTACCTCCCCTCCAACAACTTGAGTCCAGCAGCCAAAAACGTTGTCTTTCAACATTAGTTTGAAAGGCTGGATAGCACAGGGTGGTTATTTGTTCAAGACTGAAGGCATTATCTACTGTCTACCACAAGTGGCAGCATTTAAATGGAGGTTGATCTAAGGCCTTGGCTACACTTACAGCTGTACAGCGCTGTGAGGTAAACCTGTCTTCGTACAGCTGAGTAGGGAAAAGCGCAGCAGTCTGTCCACACTGACAGCTGCCAGCGCAGTGGTGTGGCCACACTTGCAACATTTGCAGCTGTGTTGGGAGCAGTGCATTATGGGCAGCTATCCCAGCATTCATGTGGCTGCGACGTGCTTTTCAAAACGGGGAGGGGGTGGATTGTGACAGGGAGTGTGGGGGAGAGAGAGTGCTTTTTGGAGCATGTCAGCTCTCTATTTTGCAAGTTCTGAACTCCCGGCCCCCTGCTCATTCATTCATTCACTTATCGTGTTGAAATATTAATTTTTGAGACACTGGACTGGTAATCAGTGTCCTACTAGTTAAGACAGCTTTAGAGAAATATTTTAAACTCACATAGAATTAAAGTAAAGGCAAAGATGTATCTGCTATACCTTCAAAATGGAATTTATTCACCACCATTCAGTCAGAATATTTTTACGTAAGACAACTGAGAAAAGTGAGGCAGCAGAAGCATTGTTTAGATGAACCACCATGCATCAGCCAGCTGCCATTTTTCCTAACAATGGGTGTCTTCCCATATCTGTGAAGCATCCACAACCATCTTCCCAGCTTAAGCAGAATAAAGGATTTTTTTTTTTCAGCCACACCATTTGGCCCCTTCATTGCCTACCAAGGGGCTACTGTGAAGCAGCAAAATCACTTTTCAGATTATTTAACACACAGAATCAAATACCATATATCCCGTTAAGCCAGGTTAACACCAAGTAAGGCACCTACTTGCACTAACATCTTGCACCACAGGAGTTCAACGAATATAGGAGATTATGATGCCCACTTTGCTGATGGGTAAAGTAAGGCTCCAAAAGGTTATGTGGCCAAGCTCACTAAGTACATCAGCAGGCACACTGATAATAGTAACCAAAAGTCCAGACTCCCACTTCTAACATTCTGAAGAGGTTTCCAAATATTAGCTATAACTGCTTATAAGAATCTGAAAGCATCAACCACAAGTGGTATATGAGTTATTTAGGGTGACCCAAGGAAATATAGTAAGGAGACGAAATTGAGGAAAATTTGATCAGAATACAAGAAAAGGCTCCGTAACAGTGATAGACAAAGCCATGGAAAAAATTCTCAAGAGGAGTAGTGGAAGTCTCACTGGGGACTAAACTAATTAAGCATTTGTTCATAGGGAACAACCCCAAGTTAGTGGGGAAAGTTGGACAATATGAATTCATAGATACTTTCCAGCTCCTGTTGATTATATGATAAATAACATGAATAGCAGTGTTAATTTACTTTGGATAAAGGGAGAATTAGCGAAAGAAAGGCAGATACTCACAAATGGCAACAAGCATTTTCTTACAGTCCCAAACTGAGCAAAATAGTCTTTAAGGTCCTCTGTGGGAGAAAAATGTACAGTCACAACGAAGTCCACAACAGTGGGCCTGTGCCTAAGGCCCTACCGCTGTGAGACGTGCCCATCCCTCCATCACACGCACGCCCCTTCAAGGGCAGCATAGGCTGCCCCGCGATACCCGCCCCGCTCCACCCACGAGGTTGGCCTCTCTGCTGGAGCGGACAATGGCGTGGCGGGGGGGGGAGCTATGGAGCCGCCCCCGCCGTTGGAGTCCCGGACAGGAGACAGCTACTGCCGGGCGGGGACCGGCTCCTACTCCCCTCTGCGGGCCGGACAAGGGGCTCTGCGGCCCTGGGGATCGGGCCCGCTCCTCACACCGCCCCGTGACTGGAGACCAAGACCCGGACCCGTCCGGGGGGGCCGGCACGGGGAAGGGGCAGCCCGCCACCCGGACTCACTGGTGGCCAGAGTCCAAGGGACCCGCGACACATAGAGCTCGAACAGTCGCCGGGAGGAACCGCGCATCACCGCCATCTTGAAAGGAGAAGAGCGAATTCTGACCTCCGACCTCTTCCCGCTCAGCCAATCAGATTCGAGCCGTCCGTCGGCTTTTGCTCCCGCGGGTCTGGGGGGGAGGGGTTGCCATGGCCAAGATGGCGGCGGCGGCGGCCGCGGCTCTGGCGCGGGAGGGTCGGGAAGACGCCTTTCGCCGGCTCTTTCGTTTCTACCGGTGGCGGGACCTGCGGGGCGGGCCCGACTTGCGGGGCGTAATTGATTTCTCCGCTGCGGGGGACCAGGTAACTGCGGGGAGTGGGGAGATGCCAGCGTCCGCTGTTCTCCGCTCCTGGTCACCGGCCGCCGCTCTCGTCCTCAAGTCCCCCCCACCCCCTCCGTTCTCCATTCCGGCTGAGCCGCTGGTCTCCTACTCGAGCATTAAGTGCTCTGGGAGGAACAGGAGCGTCAACTCGGCCCGGGCTATTCACTGCGCTGCCCACCTTTAAGGAAATCGTCAGTTTGGTTCCTCTCAAAATCATGAGATGAGCTCAAAACCGTGAGGTGCTAAAGACGCTGGGGCTTTGTCTTGGTTTCCTGGTTTGTGAGTCCTCATCGCGTTGTCAGCTTTTCCCTGCTGCAAGCACGCGGGCTAGGAACCTGTGTGCTCAAGGAAGGTGGAAATTCTCCTGTGAGGGCCTGACTGTAGGAGCTGGGCGCTAGGGAAATCGTAGGGTGCCATGTAACTAGTGCTACACTCTGAGAATTACTTGTGGCACCTTAGAGACTAACAAATTTATTTGAGCATAAGCTTTCGTGGGCTAAATATATGCTCATATATGTTAGTCTCTAAGGTGCCACAAGTACTCCTTGTTCTTTTTGCTGATACAACTAACACAGCTACCACTCTGAGAATTGGCATCTCTAGAGGTTGGCATGAAAGCCTTTTAGAAGAGCCCATCGGGTTTTCTTACAGAGTATTCAGAGAGGCTGGAGTTTCCTCCTTTCCTTATATATGTATGTTAATATTCCTCTTTCCTTGCTGCAAATACTTGTCTTGAATATTTATAGTATAGACAATGATACCTTTAAAGTGGCTGCCTCCTCCATGTAAACAAGCCAACACTGGCTCCTCACGTTCATACAATCTTTCACTAACAGTAGTTGATCACAATGTCTGTGACTAGCATTTTTCCCATCTGCAACAGCAGATTTATGGGTATTTATTCTTAACATGGCAGTTGTGTTCAGTGTGGTGGGCTGGAACCTCATGGAAAACTTTGAAATGCACCCAGCTAGAAATGCTTTTCCATGACCTGTTAATCTCTCTGCATTTCTAAAGCACCATACTAGCTATACCTAATCTGTTAATATGATCATATTCCTCTTGGTTTTTTTTTTAATTGTATATTATTAGGACTATTTCAGAAAGGAAGCTGTTTCCTTAAGAGTCAATCTATCTGCTGCTTATTTCCTACCTAAACCCTAAATTAGCTGATGTAGAGAAAACACATTAAGAATAGAGGATAACAACTTCAGGGGAGTAATAAACAGAAGAGGCAAATAAGCGCTCTCTCTAAAATAACACGTAGTCCTTTTCAACTATGTAAGAGAAACACGCTGCATATGACCAAGGATCAACAATTTCTATCCACAAACTTGGACAAGTTTAGTGGTCCTCCAATAACATTGTGATGAGCACATTCTGATCGTAGTAGGAGCTAGTAATAACCTCCAAATTTAGGTTGCCTAACACTTTGTACTATTAAAAAATTCTTGCAACCCTTTTTAAAAAAGCTTTAACACCTGCTTTGGAGGATAGGATTAAAATTCAAAATGATCTGAACAAACTGGGAAAATGGTCTGAAGTAAATAGGATGAAATTCAATAAGGACAAATGCAAAGTACTCCACTTAGGAAGGAACAATCAGTTGCACACATACAAAATGGGAAATGACTACCTAGGAAGGAGTACTGCAGAAAGAGATCTGGGGGTCATAGTGGATCAAAAGCTAAATATAAGTCACAGTGTAACACTGTTGCAAAAAAAGCAAACATTCTGGGATCTATAGCAGGAGTATTGTAAGCAAGACACGAGAAGTAATTCTCGCGCTCTACTCTGCACTGATTAGGCCTCAACTGGATTATTGTGTCCAGTTCTAGGTGCCGTATTTCAGGAAACATACAAAGAAATTGGAAAAAGTCCAGAGAAGAGAAACAAAAATGATTAAAGGTCTAGAAAACATGACCTATGAGGGAAGGTTGAAAAAATTGGGTTTGTTTAGTCTGGAGCAGAGCAGACTGAGAGGGTCCCTTCCAGTGCTATGATTCTATGATTGATTGTTGTAGTCCAGGAGTAGTCAGTAGGCGGACCCTGGGCCAAATCCAGACTGCCAGATACTTTTGAACGGACCATGAAATCTATTTTTTTTTATCATCATCACTGGATTTTTTTTATTATTTTCTCTGGAGTCTGGACCTTGACTATACCTTGACCAAGAAATTTGGATCTTGACAAAAAATAATTGACTACCCCTGCTGTAGTCCTTTGAAATTCAGCAGGAATGTAACCCTCAGGCTACAGAAGTGCCTTTTCTTTTCTCCATGAAATACTGGTGGAAGTTTCAGAGAGAAACTGTTTAAAAAAAAAAATTAACCACTGTGACTTTCACCGCACAGGAGAATGTTGGCAGAATGCCAAAACATCTAAACATGAATATTTTTAAGGCAAGGCCTATACATTGGCTAAAACAGCATCATGCATTTATCTGGGAACAGGGGCTTCTGGAGCAGCTTTCAGGGGTCAAAGAGCCAGCCTCACTCTCTACCACCACCACAATACCCCTCCTCAGAGGAGACACATTATCCCAGCAACTTATCCCCTTTTTGGTGGTGGCTCTGCTTCCCCCAACTTCCTGGGTGGGAAGGAGAAGAGAGTCCCATGATGACACTCTGTGACTGTTCTTCAGACCTACCACAAAGCCCCAGCTATCCTTGCCTTGCTTTGGGGACATAACATGGGGAACAAAATCCATCTGTCTCTGGGGGGACCAAGAGAAAAAGCCAGGTTGGGCTCCCAGACCCAGCATGTGGCACCAGCAGCCCATCCACCCTTCTTGGATAGCATTTTTCTGCTGCCAACTAATGTAGTTAGTTCTGTTTGTCAGGGGTTCTCAAATGGGGTTGCGACCCCTCGGGGTCATGAGGTTATTACATAGGGGGTTGTGAGCTGTCAGCCTCCATCCCAAACCCCGCTTTGCCTCCAGCATTTATAATGGTGTTAAATATACAAAAAAGTTTTTTAATTTATAAGGGGGGGGGGTCGCACTCAGAGGCTTGCTGTGTGAAAGGGGCCACCAGTACAGAAGTTTGAGAGCCACTGTTTTAAGTGGTTAGAAGTATGGTTTGAAGCTGCAAGGTTCAAGCTCTGCTAATGAGTCATGATGTGGGGATTGTTGCAGTTTTACTTGTATATTTTATCTTTTTCCTTAAAAAAAGCCTAGGAAATTACACTTTAAAAATACTACATTAAAAATTATATTTAGGTTGCAAAGTCAAGCAATTTAAGTTAGAAAATGCCAGATTTAAAATTGTCTGGTCCATCCATCATACCAGGAGAAGGAAGCTGGATGCGGGAGAGTGAGGGGGAGGTTACGCCACAACTGTGGGGCCTATTTCTGTTCCCTCATCCAGTCATGTCTCTAGGCAGAGTTCCTCTGGGCAGCATCCACTGACTTCTTAGATGCCTTTGAGGAGCAATGGGCTCTATTGGAAGTTCTCTGCTTGGTGTTCCCCTCAGGATCCCTGTTTCTTTATCTCTGACCTCACCCTTGCTCCTGTTTTTTCATTTGTTGTGCACTATAAGCAAATGATGCTTGGGTCCAGTGGTTCCTCCCTCTTAATTGAGGGGGAGGGCCTTTAGTTTTGGGCAGGCCTACAGCCACTCATCCCCAGTACTTCAGATATTGCACTCCTTCCAACTTCTGCAAAAAATGAGGTAGGGGCACTGCAGACAACAGCCTCTTCCACTTACTACCCTGATTCGCTCCTAGAAGTGGTCTGTACTGTGCACTGAATGAGGCAGGGGTCCTGTGGAAAAAATAGTAGGTAATGATAATGATTAGGTAATTAAAGACAGTTTTGTAATACATTCATACAGAAGGACCAAATTAATGTTGCACAGGCAACCTTCATTCTGGCATTTCCTAACTTTTGAGAGCTTGCTTATGCAACCTTAATAATACTCTTAATATGGTTTGTGTTTGTGTGTAATGTCTATATAGAAGTCCTGTCAAAGTGTTTCTACACCTGGTAGGCTGTAAGACAACTGGTCATAAAATCAAATCATTTTATTGCTCTCTTACTTCCCCCAACTTCGTTTCCAATATGAAGTCCTAAGATTGCATGACCTGCTAGTTAGAGATTAATGCTTTATATCATTTGAAAACTCTGATTCCAGTCTGTCACATACTATAAAACATTGTGGTTTCTAGTTCTAGTAGCTCTTGTAGAGTGACCATTACATCTTAATTACTGTATTATTGTATGGACAAAACCAAGCTATTACTTAGAATGATGTGATTTTTTTTTTTTTTAAGGTCCATTATCTTACAACCTGCCATCTCTAGGAACAAATGTGTCCAGAAGCACTGCGAGACCAAGGCAGCCCTGGTGGTTTTAATGTGTGATATCTCAAAATCCATCAGGGCTAGAAACAAATGCACTATGCCTTTAAAAGAAGCTGAGATTCCACATACGTCATATGCTCATAAGCCTGGGATTTTTCAAGATAGCTGACTTTAAAAACATAAGTGGTTTTTGGTCTAGCAGTTCTTCTTAGGCAATGGTCCAATGTTTTCTCCTGAGGGCATTCTGCACCAAAAAAATAAAAATTCTGTGCACAATATTTTTATTTGTCAAATAAATGTGGAGGCTCCAGCATGGCATTGGGGAGCACAGTCTACTGGCAGCACGGAGGTGGGAGATCACCATGCAGCTCCCACACCCCCTCTGCCTCCCCGGGACATCGACTCAGCAGTGAGGCTGCTCCCAACCCTGACACAGGCTCTGGGGTGAGGCTGGGGATGAGGGGTTTGGGG